TAAGAGAGTTTGAAATTAATATGAGCCATTTTATCAATAGTACGGTCCCGTCGTCGTCTCTGCCAAACCATTAATCTTTCACCGTGCCTAATCCCATGGATATACTTATGGAGCCCATTCTAAAAAAGTTGCTTGGAAGTAAGCCGACAGAAGACTTTACCAAAGGCAAAATTACATGGTCCTTGTCGCGCTGTCAGCCTGTTTCAAAGCACCAAGTGAACTATAGGTCTCTGCTGAACTCCTCGGTTCTGAATCAATATGGCAACTGCGAGGTATTCTTTTTTTTATGTCGCGAGACGTTTCAAGAAGACGATGAAAGTCGCCACTTGTTCTCTTCGTTCCGCGCCTCACGATTTTTTAGAAAGGGGTGATGCTGTGCAGGCCATAATACACAAACGTAGGACTAATGGGGGGGGAGTGGAAGGTGCCGGGCCGGAGGGCGGGCGGCCAATGGGACGCAGCGGCGGCGGTGGAATGGGACGCGAGCGGAGTCACGTCTTGGAATATTTGGGGAATTTAGCGCCTTTTCGGGCAGCCGGACCGGACTCCAGTGCGCCAACGCGTTGGCGCAGGCGTACGCGCCCCTACCAGCGCAGCACCGGCGTGGGAGACCCTCAGGAGGTGTCTGTCCGTAGCCCTTTTCGGTGCGCCCCGCTCCACCCAACGCGCTCCAGCCCGCTGGCCATGCAGCCCAAGGGCGTGCCGTGACCACGCGCGCCGATTCCGCACCGCCTCCGCACCGCCTTCGCACCGCCTCCGCACTCCGCACCGCCCCCACACCGCCCCCGCACCGCCTCCGCACCGCCTCCGCACTCCGCACCGCCCCCGCACCGCCCCCGCCCCGACCCCCCCACGGACCCCATCTTTTTCGCAAAGCCCAGCAAGGCAACATCCGCTCCATCCAATCCCCTCCTGACACCGCTTCCCCCCCAAATTACACTGTAAACATCCCCGCAATCACCCACACCCCGACACGTGTCCGCCCCGCCCACATGCGAGCGAGATGACATCGCCAGCGTGGCCCGCCCTCCGAGTGTTGAGATCCCCCGATCGGCGCCGCGCGTCCCACACCCGTGCTCCGCCCGCACCCGCGCTCCCCCACGCCTGCCGCTCCGCCCCGACCCACCCGACCCACCCGAGCGCCGTTTTGCGGTTTGGAGGGTATTTGCAACCTGGCTTCTTTGATGCTGTATCGCTGAATCCTCCTAGATACGT